CGAACTAAAGATCTCGATCACGCACTTGACCCCGAACCAACGGCTCTTAAAGGTGGGGTGGCGCTGGTCCCTGTAGGTGGGGTCCCGCTGGTTGACCCACGCCCCCACCCGGCAGCAAGGGTTTGCCTCTGCCTCAGAAATTCTTAATCAATGCGGGGCGTATTAGACATAGCTATCTTGAGGACATCCTCGGCGTCTAGAGATTGCAGGATTTGGAAGTCAGGCCACGAATCTCTCCCCAAAGTCCCCACCTCGGCGTGTGAAGGAACCAAATCCTCTTTAACCCTGAGCTCCTCAACTTCACCCTCTACTTCTGCCTCCGTAGCCCAGTCAGGGTCTTCCTCCAAGTTCTCCTCGTCCTCTTGCCTCACTGCCTGATCGAAGAGTTCAGACCACCGCGAAGGCTCGAAAGGCTGGGGAAGCTGTGAAAACTTTTTATATCCAGGAGTGTAATTCAAGAAGATGTGGCCAGCCCGGTCGAACCCGTCGTCACCAGTAAATCTCCAAACAGTGACTAGGTCGGTAAAGTTTACCAAGGACCGAGGTGGAGGAGCTGTTTCTCGAGGGGAGACGTCTGCACACAAACAAAAAGAGAGGGGAGAGAGTTATGAACACTGGTAAAAAATCTTAAGAATAAAATAATAGACCCGAAGAAGCCAACGTACTTGTCGTTCTCCATTCCAAAGGGCATAATAAGCCGTTGTACTCGGGACCGGCACCCCTCTGCCAAGATCCCTTGAAGATGAGTAGGTCATCCTTGTACCCCTTATCCGAGTTGGAAAGGTGAGTTACGAGGTACATGAATGAGTCTCTGGCTTTGAGGTAGAAGTTTTGTTGAGGCATGACTCTCAAGAGGGAGTAGCAAAAGAGGATATCGTTCAGCCCAATATTTACCCTTAGACGCTTGTTGAGCTCTAAGACTCCCATAATTATTCTGAAGACATTAAGGCAACACTGCCCGGGGAATAGGTGAAAATGGGAGAGAAGCTGGAGGAGTAGAGGGGGCAGAGGGAACCTAATTCCGTCCTCTATGACGGCTTTGGTATAAAATGACATCTTATCCTCGGCCCCCGAGGGTATGGGAATGCACAGCCGAGTCATAATCCCCTATGTCTACATATGGGGGATGTTGTACTTGACCCTAAACCCATTAATTTGCTCGCCCCCCTTTACTTTATACTTCCCTGGCTTCGAAGAACTGACCTGAGGATTCTCGGGGGCAGGGCGACGACGGGGGCATCTCCAAAAAGTGATAAAAAGTGAAGGAGGGGAGTTTTTCCACGAAGATCCCCAAGGAGGATTCTTGAGGATTGGTTGCTGAGTGGCAACCAGAAACGCCTCCAGTTATCGAAAAACCAAAAGAAACAAAAAAAATGAGAAGAAGAGAAGAGACGAGGGCGAAGAAAGGGAAGATACAAGGACTCACCAGAACATAAAAGGAAGTTTTTCTTAAAAACTTGAAGCGACTCCTTCCTCCAGAATGTTTAGAAGCAAGGATGAGTCTGCTGCCCTTGAGACTCCGGTGAAAGATTGGACAGTAGACAGCGAAAGGAAAGGGATCTCTGGTGAGGTTTCAAGCAAGGGCTCTTTGAAGAAATCTAAAATAGCAAAGTGAGAGAGGGAGAGAGGAAACCCATTTATATAGTACTCATTCCCATCATTTGGGCACGAAAAGCACGAAGAGGCGTATTTAATGCGCACGACCTCCGAAGCAGGGGAAAGCAGCTGAAGGCAATGATGAAGTAGTTGGGGTAGTTGCAGAACCCTTCGTCTCCTTACGACGCGTGTCCTCGGTGTCAGGAGATCGAAGGCTGGGGGGCAGTTGATGGAACATTTCCAAATACTCTAAGATGAAGACACGTGTCCTTGCATCAGTAAATTCTTGTTACTGTAATCACAACACGTATCCATCGGATCACAAGTCCCTGTTCCCCCGAGGTACTGCTCATAGGGATCAATGACACCCAGTACGTTACGTACCGACACGTATCCCTCGGTCATATATGAGTACATTGGTCCCTACATGTATCACTTCCCTCGGTACTGAGATGTACCCGTCCATAGTGGTGTTCTCTGCTCCTGCAGAGGCTATTGATGTACAGGTCACTAGCCTAGGCTAGGTTAGCCATCATGACCTCGTCTTACACAATTGGTGTCAGAAGGCACAAGAAGGCAGAAGACACAGCCAATGGGGAATGGGAGCGTGGCATATTGTGTCACATCAGAGACAAAAAGACTGGATGTCCTTGCTGACACACGACTTGAAAAAGCAAGCATTTAGTTATACCATTCCCTTGATGAGACAACATTTAATGCGGTAAGGCTCGGAAGTGAAAGGTAATAAATGTCCCTAAGACTGGGCATTTATTACATCCTTGCCGCGAGGAGCTCATTAAACAGTCAGCAGGCCGATGACGCAGCCTTGGTTGCTTGGGATCCCGAACAGTTAAAAGAGAAAACATTCCTCATAGGAATCAGCGCGCACATTGTCCGTATCTAATGATCACCTACTGACTACACTGACAGCAATCATGAGTTTTTGAGGTATAAATACTCTTCACAAAAGGCAAGACGATATACAACGAAAAACCTTTTCTCAAACCTATACTCAGTGTTTTTTTATTTTCCTCTCTTAAAAACTAATTTGATCGTCGGAGGGGATACGCCGAAAAACACTCTGGCGCCCTTCTAACTTGTCTTTCTCTGTTCCAGGAACCTCCCTCAGCCTTACTGGACCGCTCCTTTGATCCATGAAAGTCACTCATTACCGTTCCAGGCCGCCAACGTATATCAACCTGTTCCAAATAGCAAGGTTGACCATTTGACTAACTGACTCGAATTCATCACAGGAGAGATCTGTTATCGTGTTTATATTGTGCAAGATCCTGCACGCACACTATTCTTTCACACACACACACACGAACATGCAACACACACTGTTTTGTGTATACGGTATACCGCCAACAACAAGAAGCATCTCCTCTCCCTCAATTTATAATTTGTCTCCCTTTCTCTCTATCTCTCACACATATTCCCCATTGTTGTTAGAGCCCACACAAAAGCCTTGCACACAAGTTATTTGTCTTTGTCTATCTTTTCCAAGACAAAGAATATTGTGTAGTCCACTTTTAGCTACTTGCAATGCTTGATGTTTTTAGGTTCTAAAGTGAAATATTTCTTCGTCTGTCTTTCTAAGAGTTTGGGGACAAATTGATTCAATTTCAGTATATTTTTTTATTATATTTCTGATGTTAACAATTAATTAGGTCAAATTTTGTTCTTATCAGCTGTTTGATTTTATTTTTTTTTTTGTTGGAAACTGAGAGAAAGCTTCGTATGTAGCAAAGGCAGAGAAAAGAAAGGTGGAATAAGAAAACCACCATGCTATCTCAAAATAAGAAATTTTTTTTCTAAAAATAAATTATTTATTTATTCATGTTTAATTTTTGATTGAAATTAGGTCAATGATATTGTTCTAATTAATGTAGATGACAACTGTACTATAAATATTTTATGTCCCAAATTATTTGCAGAGACCTCAATAATAACGTGAAAAATCCAGATGGATGGGACACGAGCAAGTGATGCCCAATGTATTGAGAAGTTGTGGTAGAATTCCTCCTCTGCACAAGAGGAAGGGACCACAGGGACTAGGTGCAACTTGGACTTTTCCACAAATTAAGGCATTTGAATTCAATATTATTATTGATCATGTTTAGTTTTGTCCATGATCTGACAACACAATTCATTTTTATCTACAATATGGATATAACTGCTTGAAAATATCAATTTCCATTAGGTTGTCCATTTTGTGCAGGATGCCATTATTTCTCAAGAAAATTTTCACGGGGTCCTTGCCTCAAGGTATTGGCCATGTGATGGTAGAGATAGTTATGGTAGTGCAAGACTATTGCAAGTGATGAGCGAAAGTTATTTATTTTTCTCTAAATCTTTATTTTTGTTGTTTCTAATATGTATTCATGTTCGGATTGTATTAATTATGATTGTTTACTTCTCATTTGATTTTTGCTTCTTTGTATATGAAATGATAAAATTGTGATTGTATTTATTTTCATTTTATTGTTTGGATTATTTTTTCTAAATTTAATGCTCATAGAGAGTGAAATTTTTTAGATTAAATTATGCCCATTTTTTATGGAATTAATTGAGCCCAAAAAATTATTTGGTCATTTAAAATGAATTTATGTGCGTCACTTTTCTTGTACTTATGCTCATTTTTTTAATTGTCGATTTTTTGTTATATACCGTCTTTATGCATGAACAAATGTTTATAATTTTTTTAAATAATATAATGCTCGTTTGGTAGACGTATTAAGAGGAAATTAAATATTAAATTGTACTATTTTTTACTTAATCAGGTCTAATATTTTGTTTGGTAAACAAATTTGATACCGTATTAATTTCAAAAATGTGTACTTATCGTATATTTTTTATACTATAGACCTGTATTATGAAGGTTTTTTAATACCACCAAAAGATGTGGTATTATAATCCAACTCAAACGTATTATTCTACACATTTATTATTATAACCCCAAGTGATAAATTCAAGTTGCTATCAATGTAACAAATACTGATTGAGTATATTTTTGTTTATTCAACATTAATATAATGAAATAATTTTCTGACTAAATAATTGATTGAATTAAATAACTACTGTCCAACGCTTATATTGCGCATTGTCAAATACTAGATAAAATTACGTATTATTCTAATACCATATTTAATCTTGTCTTTAATTCATTTGTATTGTATTAGACTGTATTATTTTATTTAATTTATTAATTTTTAATACCACAATCAAACAAGCGCACGGACAATTAGTAGTAAAAATATTACAGTTGAGAGGGTAGTATAATAAATGGGTCATAGTTGAGGATGTCAAAGTATAATTTTATTCTCTCTGCCCCCTCCCTCTCTCTTCCATTTGAAACAAATCTCTGAAATTCTCAGCCTCTTCGATTCGGTCTGGTAGTCATCATGAATTTCTTAGCCCGAGCACTCAAAGCAAAATGTTCACTATTTACCCATTCCTCACAGAGGCGTCTACTAATCCCACACCCAGTAGCTATTCTCCACCATTCTTCACTCTACGCCACAAAAACCCCAAAATCCAGAAAACCCACAACCCTCGAACCTCAACAGTCATCATCGTCATCTTTAGAATCGACTGAATGGCCACGGCCTAGTGAGATTCCATGGCAATCAAAGGTTGTTAATACGGTGAATTTGATTGGCAATGTTAAAATTCCTGTACAGTTCCAAGCTTCTCCAGACGGCAAGTACTGGGCTGGCACTGTTATTGCACAAAACGATTCTGTTTCTTCTGATTTTCCGTCTTTCTGGTACTCTGACACATCTATATACAAGTGTGTGTGTGTGTGTGGATTGCTATGTGATGTTTGTATATTACTATTTGTTGTACGCGTACAATGTGTGTGAATCATTTTGAGCTATGATTTCAGTGTTTATCTTTTGTATTTTATCCATATTATCCTTCTTTTTTGATAAGAAATAAAACTTTCAAAAATTATCAAAACCCTAATAAAATATAGTGGAGAAGAAATTCACCTACAAGAAAAGAGTAAAAGAAAATAACGGTTTGCAATTGCTAATTTTTGGGTGACATAGATGTGACCCACTTGTATAATCATATATGGAAAAATTACTCTATTAGAAATTAAATTTTCCTTAGTAGTTCATGATTAGAATAGTCCAAAACGATTTAGAGGTCAAATTGTGTTGTCCAATTTTAGAGGAAGCAGGAAGGCATTAATTTGTGTTCTAATTCATAATATTGATTTGGTCTAAAATAGGAAGTCAAAAGTTTTTACATTGCTTGACATTTATAATTAAATTAAATATAGATTAATGTATAGATGGGTACAACGTTTTTTATCTTAATTTTGTGAACATAAATCATAGGCATGTAAGTAGTTTTACTGGATTTGCCCCCAAGTTTCTTTGAGCCCCCCAAAAAAAGACAATAAATCTCTATTAACTCTTCCAACGTTATCACATTTTCGATGGTGGGCGTTCTATTGGTTTCCATCAAAATATAACACGTGCATGTCACGTGACTTTTTAAGGGAGTATTAAAGGAATTCTAGGTGAAAGCATGCATTTTACATGCTGAAATTTGGTCTATAATTCCACTTTGTGTTGATGTGTATATTTGATGAATAAAAATGCCAAAACAATTGTTTTCCCTTCTAGTGTTATTTAAGGCATAAAACGAATCGAAGCGAACAGGTCTCTTGAGGGTCTAGGCGGGAAGCGAGAAGTGAAGCGAGCGCTTCACTGAAGCAAAACGAACAATATAAAAAATAAGTAAATATTTTAGTTTCATACTTTGGTTACTCTTAAATATTCAAGTTTTAATTTTACAAATATAAAATATTTAAATGCAATCAAAATAATAAATATCAACATATTTTAAATAGACAAAATATTAAATATTGAACATTGTTGTATTTTAAAAATAATCAATTGACATAATCACGTCATCTAAATGTAAAGTTAACAAATGTGGGTTTGATTTCTACCGTGATTGATTAATATCACCACTAAACATAGCACTCACAAATTGATTAATCAAATTAATAGAGCATATATCAAATTGATTAACAAGAGCATTCACATCAAAGCAAAGCATTCAACATTATCTAATCATAATAAGACAGATTGTCATATGATATTGTTACACGAATTAATCAATTTATTTTATACATAAACACATATAGCATTATCTATGCTAAAGTTTGGTTAATGTTAAAGAAGGATGAGGAGGAGGAGGAGGAGGAGGAGGGGGAAAGAGGAGGAGAAAATAAAAGAATTGCAGTTAGGCGTTCGCTTTTCTCGCCTGGCTCGCTTCTTCGTTTCGTTGCCTAAGTTCGCTTTTTCCTCGTTTTACTTAACCTCGCTTCGCCTTGGACGATCGAAGCTTGCTTCGCTTCTCGCCTAGACTCGCTTTTTACAACACTGTTCCCTCCAAAATAAATTATCTATCAAAATAACTCATCTCATCTCTATCTTTTCGTAGGATGATTTCTTTTTAAAAATCAATTTTCTCTCTTAGTTTTCAAGGAAAACTCTGTATTCCTCAAGAAAACCCATTTCTATCTCCCTCTTCCTCTCCATAACTCCCTCTTTCGAAAATTGATTCTCTCACTCATAAAACTCATTCATCGTGAAACTTTGCACTTAAGAAACTTGGGATTAACAAAAAATGTTAAACTTTAAAATTAAAAGTAACTCATCAATGTCTCTCTTCCCACCCTCTTCCTTTCTCTAAAAATTAGGCACCATTGGCTTCCATCATCGGTACCCACCAAACCACCACCATACCATCTCCACCTACATTCAACAAAGTCTGAGGAAGAAGAGTTTAAAGGCGCATTGCTCACTTTTCTCATAAAACATGTCTAACAACAATAGCCCATTGTATTCAAGTAGTGCCACAACAACTCAAATTTAACCTCGGATCCTTTGCTGGTATCACTAGATAATATCATTTGTGATCACCGACCCTTACAGTGAAGAGAATCTTTCGTCACAGTCTCAATTTTATAGAACCTTTGATTCAGGCACTCTATATTGTTTTTGGGTGTTTGGAATCGATTCTAAATGTTTGGTTTTATCGTAAAATATAAGGACTAATTCATAAGTCCCCAACAAATCAACCCAAAAAAGAGCATGAAATTGTAATTGCACAATCTAAAATATCAATCTGGATGGAAAACTTAAAGACGCCATCAAAATTATATTTTTTACTCTTTGTTGAAGGTGTAGAGTTGCAAGAGGAATTTAAATGAATATAGATAGACAACAAGTTTAGAAGAAGCTTTTACTTATAAAAAGAATAGTGTTATCCGCAACCTGCCAATAAGCAGAGATATGGAGAGAGAGGCAAGCTTTGTCAAAAAACTTTATTTGATTTACTTTATGAACTCCACTGGTTGTCCATGGATTATAGGTGAACTGGTATGGCCTGATCAAAACGTCAATTTTAATTACTCCAGGAGTACCGTTTTCAAAATTTTCGAATGGTCTAATTGTTGCCGTCTTTCTATTCATATCCCTTTGACTTCAGGGCCTTTACACTGCTTAATGTGCAAATATTCAAACCACTCCCTCTAGAGAAGGCAATGAAAAAAACTCACATAGTATATATCATACTTGAAATCCCTCCAATATTTCTGTACTGTCCCTTGTTGGTCGAGAGGGATGGAGGAGGCTATGTCAACCAAAGATGGTTATCGGTTCAAGGACATAAGGTGACCCTATTTTTAAAGAACTACAAATTTAGGAGAAAATTTTACCTATGAAAATAAGGGGAAAAAAGCTCTCCTTATTGAACCAGAACTTTTGGAGATCATTCTTAGGTTGAATTGGTTGACAACTCTTACAATTTTGTATTTTTATTTTGATATTTAAGGAAAAAAGTGAGAAGCTTTGTTTAGCATGGATACAATATCAAAATTTTCAAGTGCTCCCATTGCGTTTAGTTTGTTCACTAANAGGAAAAAAGTGAGAAGCTTTGTTTAGCATGGATACAATATCAAAATTTTCAAGTGCTCCCATTGCGTTTAGTTTGTTCACTAAAAAAGAATTTAGTGAGGATATTTTTGTCAATCTATAAGATTAAAGAGTGTACAACACCTGACTTTATTGTGTAACCCACAAAAACATTGATGAAAAGATCAACCATTTTTCCATAGCTTGCTTATTGATTCCACTAATTCATTCTGTCAGTTTTTCTTGACTTGTTTCTCTTGTCTATTCAATAGTTTTCTAACTCATGCAGACTTATTTGCTAGTTTCTTTTGATAAATCAGGATTCCTGTAATATTTGAAGGTGATCTAGCGCACATTGCTGCATGTCATCTGAAAGAAAAAGATCGTGTTTATATAGCTGGACACCTTAGTGCAGATCCTCCACCATTTACATTAAGTCAAGGTCAAGCTAATGCACAGGTAATTTTAGGTAACCTATAATATTCATCAATTTAAAAGATGAAAATAGTTACTTGCACCCAATAAACTGAGAAGCAGCTTGGCTGAGGTGTAATTTTTTTGCAACATTGTTATATTAAAATAGTCAGTTGAGCTTGCTCAGAAGTTCTTACTTGGAATATACAAACCCTTTTTTTCTATACATCTTTTGGGGTGTGATAGTGGTTGAAAAATCTAGCTCTGAGTTTTTTGAGGTTCAATTTTCTTATATTTAAATGTTGATATTTTGTTGAAGCTAGTAGCTCCTTTGTATAATGGGAAACAGAGGGAATTATGTCTAAAAATTACCACTAGTTTTTTTTTTTTTTNTATTTATTTTCATTTTATTGTTTGGATTATTTTTTCTAAATTTAATGCTCATAGAGGGTGAAATTTTTTAGATTAAATTATGCCCATTTTTTATGGAATTAATTGAGCCCAAAAAATTATTTGGTCATTTAAAATGAATTTATGTGCGTCACTTTTCTTGTACTTATGCTCATTTTTTTAATTGTCGATTTTTTGTTATATACCGTCTTTATGCATGAACAAATGTTTATAATTTTTTTAAATAATATAATGCTCGTTTGGTAGACGTATTAAGAGGAAATTAAATATTAAATTGTACTATTTTTTACTTAATCAGGTCTAATATTNATAATATAATGCTCGTTTGGTAGACGTATTAAGAGGAAATTAAATATTAAATTGTACTATTTTTTACTTAATCAGGTCTAATATTTTGTTTGGTAAACAAATTTGATACCGTATTAATTTCAAAAATGTGTACTTATCGTATATTTTTTATACTATAGACCTGTATTATGAAGGTTTTTTAATACCACCAAAAGATGTGGTATTATAATCCAACTCAAACGTATTATTCTACACATTTATTATTATAACCCCAAGTGATAAATTCAAGTTGCTATCAATGTAACAAATACTGATTGAGTATATTTTTGTTTATTCAACATTAATATAATGAAATAATTTTCTGACTAAATAATTGATTGAATTAAATAACTACTGTCCAACGCTTATATTGCGCATTGTCAAATACTAGATAAAATTACGTATTATTCTAATACCATATTTAATCTTGTCTTTAATTCATTTGTATTGTATTAGACTGTATTATTTTATTTAATTTATTAATTTTTAATACCACAATCAAACAAGCGCACGGACAATTAGTAGTAAAAATATTACAGTTGAGAGGGTAGTATAATAAATGGGTCATAGTTGAGGATGTCAAAGTATAATTTTATTCTCTCTGCCCCCTCCCTCTCTCTTCCATTTGAAACAAATCTCTGAAATTCTCAGCCTCTTCGATTCGGTCTGGTAGTCATCATGAATTTCTTAGCCCGAGCACTCAAAGCAAAATGTTCACTATTTACCCATTCCTCACAGAGGCGTCTACTAATCCCACACCCAGTAGCTATTCTCCACCATTCTTCACTCTACGCCACAAAAACCCCAAAATCCAGAAAACCCACAACCCTCGAACCTCAACAGTCATCATCGTCATCGTTAGAATCGACTGAATGGCCACGGCCTAGTGAGATTCCATGGCAATCAAAGGTTGTTAATACGGTGAATTTGATTGGCAATGTTAAAATTCCTGTACAGTTCCAAGCTTCTCCAGACGGCAAGTACTGGGCTGGCACTGTTATTGCACAAAACGATTCTGTTTCTTCTGATTTTCCGTCTTTCTGGTACTCTGACACATCTATATACAAGTGTGTGTGTGTGTGTGTGTGGATTGCTATGTGATGTTTGTATATTACTATTTGTTGTACGCGTACAATGTGTGTGAATCATTTTGAGCTATGATTTCAGTGTTTATCTTTTGTATTTTATCCATATTATCCTTCTTTTTTGATAAGAAATAAAACTTTCAAAAATTATCAAAACCCTAATAAAATATAGTGGAGAAGAAATTCACCTACAAGAAAAGAGTAAAAGAAAATAACGGTTTGCAATTGCTAATTTTTGGGTGACATAGATGTGACCCACTTGTATAATCATATATGGAAAAATTACTCTATTAGAAATTAAATTTTCCTTAGTAGTTCATGATTAGAATAGTCCAAAACGATTTAGAGGTCAAATTGTGTTGTCCAATTTTAGAGGAAGCAGGAAGGCATTAATTTGTGTTCTAATTCATAATATTGATTTGGTCTAAAATAGGAAGTCAAAAGTTTTTACATTGCTTGACATTTATAAGTAAATTAAATATAGATTAATGTATAGATGGGTACAACGTTTTTTATCTTAATTTTGTGAACATAAATCATAGGCATGTAAGTAGTTTTACTGGATTTGCCCCCAAGTTTCTTTGAGCCCCCCAAAAAAAGACAATAAATCTCTATTAACTCTTCCAACGTTATCACATTTTCGATGGTGGGCGTTCTATTGGTTTCCATCAAAATATAACACGTGCATGTCACGTGACTTTTTAAGGGAGTATTAAAGGAATTCTAGGTGAAAGCATGCATTTTACATGCTGAAATTTGGTCTATAATTCCACTTTGTGTTGATGTGTATATTTGATGAATAAAAATGCCAAAACAATTGTTTTCCCTTCTAGTGTTATTTAAGGCATAAAACGAATCGAAGCGAACAGGTCTCTTGAGGGTCTAGGCGGGAAGCGAGAAGTGAAGCGAGCGCTTCACTGAAGCAAAACGAACAATATAAAAAATAAGTAAATATTTTAGTTTCATACTTTGGTTACTCTTAAATATTCAAGTTTTAATTTTACAAATATAAAATATTTAAATGCAATCAAAATAATAAATATCAACATATTTTAAATAGACAAAATATTAAATATTGAACATTGTTGTATTTTAAAAATAATCAATTGACATAATCACGTCATCTAAATGTAAAGTTAACAAATGTGGGTTTGATTTCTACCGTGATTGATTAATATCACCACTAAACATAGCACTCACAAATTGATTAATCAAATTAATAGAGCATATATCAAATTGATTAACAAGAGCATTCACATCAAAGCAAAGCATTCAACATTATCTAATCATAATAAGACAGATTGTCATATGATATTGTTACACGAATTAATCAATTTATTTTATACATAAACACATATAGCATTATCTATGCTAAAGTTTGGTTAATGTTAAAGAAGGATGAGGAGGAGGAGGAGGAGGAGGAGGGGGAAAGAGGAGGAGAAAATAAAAGAATTGCAGTTAGGCGTTCGCTTTTCTCGCCTGGCTCGCTTCTTCGTTTCGTTGCCTAAGTTCGCTTTTTCCTCGTTTTACTTAACCTCGCTTCGCCTTGGACGATCGAAGCTTGCTTCGCTTCTCGCCTAGACTCGCTTTTTACAACACTGTTCCCTCCAAAATAAATTATCTATCAAAATAACTCATCTCATCTCTATCTTTTCGTAGGATGATTTCTTTTTAAAAATCAATTTTCTCTCTTAGTTTTCAAGGAAAACTCTGTATTCCTCAAGAAAACCCATTTCTATCTCCCTCTTCCTCTCCATAACTCCCTCTTTCAAAAATTGATTCTCTCACTCATAAAACTCATTCATCGTGAAACTTTGCACTTAAGAAACTTGGGATTAACAAAAAATGTTAAACTTTAAAATTAAAAGTAACTCATCAATGTCTCTCTTCCCACCCTCTTCCTTTCTCTAAAAATTAGGCACCATTGGCTTCCATCATCGGTACCCACCAAACCACCACCATACCATCTCCACCTACATTCAACAAAGTCTGAGGAAGAAGAGTTTAAAGGCGCATTGCTCACTTTTCTCATAAAACATGTCTAACAACAATAGCCCATTGTATTCAAGTAGTGCCACAACAACTCAAATTTAACCTCGGATCCTTTGCTGGTATCACTAGATAATATCATTTGTGATCACCGACCCTTACAGTGAAGAGAATCTTTCGTCACAGTCTCAATTTTATAGAACCTTTGATTCAGGCACTCTATATTGTTTTTGGGTGTTTGGAATCGATTCTAAATGTTTGGTTTTATCGTAAAATATAAGGACTAATTCATAAGTCCCCAACAAATCAACCCAAAAAAGAGCATGAAATTGTAATTGCACAATCTAAAATATCAATCTGGATGGAAAACTTAAAGACGCCATCAAAATTATATTTTTTACTCTTTGTTGAAGGTGTAGAGTTGCAAGAGGAATTTAAATGAATATAGATAGACAACAAGTTTAGAAGAAGCTTTTACTTATAAAAAGAATAGTGTTATCCGCAACCTGCCAATAAGCAGAGATATGGAGAGAGAGGCAAGCTTTGTCAAAAAACTTTATTTGATTTACTTTATGAACTCCACTGGTTGTCCATGGATTATAGGTGAACTGGTATGGCCTGATCAAAACGTCAATTTTAATTACTCCAGGAGTACCGTTTTCAAAATTTTCGAATGGTCTAATTGTTGCCGTCTTTCTATTCATATCCCTTTGACTTCAGGGCCTTTACACTGCTTAATGTGCAAATATTCAAACCACTCCCTCTAGAGAAGGCAATGAAAAAAACTCACATAGTATATATCATACTTGAAATCCCTCCAATATTTCTGTACTGTCCCTTGTTGGTCGAGAGGGATGGAGGAGGCTATGTCAACCAAAGATGGTTATCGGTTCAAGGACATAAGGTGACCCTATTTTTAAAGAACTACAAATTTAGGAGAAAATTTTACCTATGAAAATAAGGGGAAAAAAGCTCTCCTTATTGAACCAGAACTTTTGGAGATCATTCTTAGGTTGAATTGGTTGACAACTCTTACAATTTTGTATTTTTATTTTGATATTTAAGGAAAAAAGTGAGAAGCTTTGTTTAGCATGGATACAATATCAAAATTTTCAAGTGCTCCCATTGCGTTTAGTTTGTTCACTAAAAAAGAATTTAGTGAGGATATTTTTGTCAATCTATAAGATTAAAGAGTGTACAACACCTGACTTTATTGTGTAACCCACAAAAACATTGATGAAAAGATCAACCATTTTTCCATAGCTTGCTTATTGATTCCACTAATTCATTCTGTCAGTTTTTCTTGACTTGTTTCTCTTGTCTATTCAATAGTTTTCTAACTCATGCAGACTTATTTGCTAGTTTCTTTTGATAAATCAGGATTCCTGTAATATTTGAAGGTGATCTAGCGCACATTGCTGCATGTCATCTGAAAGAAAAAGATCGTGTTTATATAGCTGGACACCTTAGTGCAGATCCTCCACCATTTACATTAAGTCAAGGTCAAGCTAATGCACAGGTAATTTTAGGTAACCTATAATATTCATCAATTTAAAAGATGAAAATAGTTACTTTCACCCAATAAACTGAGAAGCAGCTTGGCTGAGGTGTAATTTTTTTGCAACATTGTTATATTAAAATAGTCAGTTGAGCTTGCTCAGAAGTTCTTACTTGGAATATACAAACCCTTTTTTTCTATACATCTTTTGGGGTGTGATAGTGGTTGAAAAATCTAGCTCTGAGTTTTTTGAGGTTCAATTTTCTTATATTTAAATGTTGATATTTTGTTGAAGCTAGTAGCTCCTTTGTATAATGGGAAACAGAGGGAATTATGTCTAAAAATTACCACTAGTTTTTTTTTTTTTTTCGAGATTCTTGAAAATGGGGCTGGTTAGCATAGTTTTTTTCTGTCCATTTTAAAACATTTCTCGATCTTTTAAAGTGGAGGTGCTTGTTTATTTACCCTTTGTTTGTCCTCTGAAGTTTGAACCCAAAGAGATTCTTTTGAGGGTAAAGCATCTTTATTTGTTTTTCTATACATCTAATTTATCTATTGCAACTCCACTTCTAGAAAGGATCTTGTTTTGTCACAGACATGGATACGATACGAAACGGATACTTAGACTCAACATTTCTAAAAAAAGTAGGTTACGGATATCCTAGGGATACACTATAGTTAATTGTGTTTTATATATAAAATTATATAATTTATCACAAAAATATAGAGATAATGACATATTATTCATAAGAAATTTAGTATTTTATGATAAGTAATTGTTATGTCTAGTCATCGAGTGTGAATTTTTAGACTAAGCATCATGATAGTCAATAATCATCAATTATTTTTAGACAACGTGTACTCAATATATATAATTTAAATGACCGTTATTGTTTTCTCAATTTTTCTTTTTTTAAAAACTTTATGCAACTTTTTCTTTTATTATCATATTTTGAGTATGACTTTAACGTGTCTTGTCTTGGTAATTATATGTTTTGTCATTATATAAGGTACTTATAGTCAAAATTTTAAGCTTTGTTGATCACTTGTCAACATATTTTTATTATTTAGTAATAGGTATGGTCTAAAGAAGGGTCGGACACATCACTAAAAAGTGTCAGACACGTGTTCGAAATTAAAATTTATCATTTAATTCTAGACACGGATAAAAGAGTATTAGACACTTGTCTGAGAGGGTCTTTGTCCGACATGTATACATTACATTCTTGAGAGTGTCTGTGCTTCATAGGTCTAACTTATAAGGAAAAAAATTGCTTATAGAATCCTATGCTCTGTGGAACAGGGCATTACATTGTTTCATTTTTAAGAACATGTTGTCTCATGTGATGTTTGATAAAACTGAAATTTGGCTACTGAATGAAAACAAGCTGTTTGATTACTACAAGGAACTAAAGTTTGAAAATAATTAGTTTTTCAATTTTGCCCCTCCCACTCTTGGCTTAACATATATTTATCTAGGAAAAGACCACGTCATATCACTAATGTAACAAATGAATAAACGATCATCATTGATGATGCACAAATTGGTATTGCGTAAAATCAACAGTCAAGTATATGTAAGGGTGCAATTAATGAGCAATAAATAGGCAATCAATGACAAAATAATAAATAAAGAAATCAACACCAAGATTTATAGTGGTTCGGTATGGGTGACTTACTCCATTCTTTGGAACAGCGGAGGTGGCCGGAGATCTTTATTGATAAATAATATCATCGGGAGAGTAACTTCGGGATATTACAATACTTTTAGGAGAGAGAAGTGATGGGTGTAGAGGTCTCAAAGTCATGTCAATGTGTTTCTCCTTGTGGAGAGAACTTACATTATATAGGTTTAGTATGGCGGTGATGTCAGGAGAGGGCTTCTACTATTTTAGTAAGTTCAATCAAGATAAGATTAGATCTCCGTGCGTATCCCAATATTCTCTCCTCGTGCTCCTATTCAGCCGGAGGAGGATTGTGGGCTTGGACTTGAGTTGGTGGGTGCTGGACAAGAGATAAGCGGGCGAAGGACTCCACGAGGTTGCGTAAGAGATGGAGCATGAGACAAAAGAGGGAAAAGATCCCCTTGGGGTGGCCTCCCTTGGGCTGTGCCCTTTGGGTAGCCCCGTTGGGGTGTCCCCGTTGGACTCCTCCTCGACTTGTTGACTTGGGCTCCTCCTTGACTTGTTGACTTGGGCTCCGAGGTGACGTGGACATGTCTTGATTAATTGGGTCTGACTCAGTTAATTTCTTGTTTACCATTTGCCCCCTATGCCCCAAGTCTCTGACTTTTGGTGAAAGGAAGGAGTTGAGGGCATGTGCTTCTTCTTCACCTGAGTAGGAGTTTTCACCTGAGTAGGAGTTTTCTTGCTTCCACGGTGCTTTGCTTTCCATTCTTTGGAGAATGAGACCTTTGTTGATGGCGTCACCGGGAGAAGGAAATGGGGGGTCCTTTGCGGTTTAGGTGCATTACCCCTTTGGGCGTTGTTTTTTTTTTTTTTTTCGTCTTGGTTTTTTCTTTGGGCGTTGGCCCTCTTTTCCTTTTTTTTTTTTTTCTTTTCTTCTTGGTTTGTTCCTTGGGCGCTGACCTTTGGTTTTTTTTTTTCCTTTCTTTTGGGCACCGCCTACCATGACCCATCTCTTTTTTTTTTCCTTTGGGTGAAGCTTGCTGCCTGCTAGCTCCCCTTCTCTCTCTTTTTTTTTTTTTTTTTTCTTTTTCCATTTGGGCGACGCCTGTTGCTCCTCTTCTCTTTTTTTTTTTTCCTTGGGCGTTGGCCTTTCTCCCCTATTCTTTTTTTTTCTTCTTGGGTGCTGCCTTTTCTCCCCCATTATTATTATTTTTTTTTTCTTTTGGGCGCTGCCGCCTTTTGCTTTCTCTCTCTGGGCGCCGCCTCCTTCATTTTTTTTTTGTGGCCTCCTGGGGCGCTGGCTCCCTTTAGGCGACGCCTGTTGGCTCCCCTTGGGCGAGTGTGGGAGCTGGGCGGCGTTTTTAAGTGACAGGGACTGTTGGGCGTCAGGCGCTGGGCCGCGCCAGGGCTATTTGCTAGCTTGGACGGCGCCAGGAGGGGACTGGGCGGTTCTTGACCTTGTTTCTAATTTCAGGACCTCCCGACAAAGTGATGATGAAGGTGAAGGTTCTCTGTGCATTTAGGGTGTTGTCTTCCCCTCCTCCTAAGAGGATGAGGTGTGATGCCCCTAGTACTTTTCGGTCGAGGTCCGATGACCAGGTTGTTTCTTAGCAGTGGGATCCGGTGGTGCCCCTACTCCTTCCCGGACTGGGACTTCTATGTGTATTAGAGTTAGCCCTTGTACCGTTGTAGGAGTTGAGATTCTAGTGCAGTTTTTACGGGAATTGTGGCTTCACCCTGCTTTTAGTAGTGGCTCGGTTGCAGATGACCTAAGCTTCAAAAGTGTGCCCGACAAAAATAATGTTATCTTGACATTAAAATATCTAACATGATTACCTAGAGAGAGAGGCAGGTTGTTTGTATGAGAGCAAAGTCAGAGTTGTGGGCGTCCCGTGACGGGATTGCATGAGTTGAGGCCGAGCTACGTATAGTCTCGGGGATGACCACCGTGACAGAGGCTTACAAGGTGACTACTTGTGCTCTTAAGAGTAGAGTCATTGGTCAAGCTACGTATAATTCAGGAGATGGCTCCATAGCAGAGGCTTACAAGGTGACTACTTGCGTGAGAGTAGAGTCATAAGTCTAGCTACGCATAACTCGGGAGATGGCTGCCGTAGTAGAGGCTTACAAGGTGATTACTTGTGCGAGAGCAGTGTCATAGGTCGAGCTTCTTTGCGACTCGCAAGAGAGTCCGAAGCTCGAGATATAGACTGCTGAAGAGCAGTAGGTGCTTGAGCGACAGGCACGAGAAGATGCCGCAAAGCTTGCACGGCAGGCACGAGAGGATGTCGTAAAACTGTTAGGGCTTGAGCGGTAGGCACGAGAGAATGCCGCTGAGCAGTTGAGGCTAGCGCATGAGAGGGCTGCTCAACTTGAGGCTGATTTTCGAGTAGCACTTGAGAGAGTTGCTAGGGCAGAGGTTTGCTCCATAGAGATGGAAGAGACGAGGAGGGCGCTAAAGAGTTGGGCGTTTGGCGCTGGGCACCTGCTCGGTGTCTAACTCTGAGCGCGTGGTGCTGGGCGCCTAGTGATGAACGCCTGGTGGTGCTAGTGCCTAGTGTAGGGCGCCTGAGTCTGGGTGCTTGTTGCTAGCACTTGGTGTTGAGCGTCTTTGGGTGTAGACACCGAGGAGCTCTGGACACGGACGTCGCTGGGTATGGACGTCGAGGGTTGCTGGGCACTGCTGGGCACGGATGTCGAGGGGCGATGGGCGTCGCTGGGCATGGATATCGAAGGACGCTGGTGCCAAGAGTGGAGAGGTCCTTCTTGGGTGGCGTGCAGAAGGTGGGCAACAGTGAGTCTGGTGGGCGATAGCCAGCCTGGGTGCTGTCGACCTGGGTTATGCCAACCTGGGCGGTGCTTGCTGCTTGGCGCCTGAAGGTGTGTGTTTGATAAGAGNTCCCGTGACGGGATTGCATGAGTTGAGGCCGAGCTACGTATAGTCTCGGGGATGACCACCGTGACAGAGGCTTACAAGGTGACTACTTGTGCTCTTAAGAGTAGAGTCATTGGTCAAGCTACGTATAATTCAGGAGATGGCTCCATAGCAGAGGCTTACAAGGTGACTACTTGCGTGAGAGTAGAGTCATAAGTCTAGCTACGCATAACTCGGGAGATGGCTGCCGTAGTAGAGGCTTACAAGGTGATTACTTGTGCGAGAGCAGTGTCATAGGTCGAGCTTCTTTGCGACTCGCAAGAGAGTCCGAAGCTCGAGATATAGACTGCTGAAGAGCAGTAGGTGCTTGAGCGACAGGCACGAGAAGATGCCGCAAAGCTTGCACGGCAGGCACGAGAGGATGTCGTAAAACTGTTAGGGCTTGAGCGGTAGGCACGAGAGAATGCCGCTGAGCAGTTGAGGCTAGCGCATGAGAGGGCTGCTCAACTTGAGGCTGATTTTCGAGTAGCACTTGAGAGAGTTGCTAGGGCAGAGGTTTGCTCCATAGAGATGGAAGAGACGAGGAGGGCGCTAAAGAGTTGGGCGTTTGGCGCTGGGCACCTGCTCGGTGTCTAACTCTGAGCGCGTGGTGCTGGGCGCCTAGTGATGAACGCCTGGTGGTGCTAGTGCCTAGTGTAGGGCGCCTGAGTCTGGGTGCTTGTTGCTAGCACTTGGTGTTGAGCGTCTTTGGGTGTAGACACCGAGGAGCTCTGGACACGGACGTCGCTGGGTATGGACG